CAGGCCTATGGCGCTCAGGTGGCACAGAAGGTGAAGGCTGAGCCCAGATCGCATGGGCTCGGGCGCACCGCGCTCCTTCAAGACTTGAGCGTGGCAGTTGCGGCGGGATCCAGGATGGGCTATGCCTAAACATGTAAAATGTGACATATATATATATATATGAATATATATATATATATAGGGGAAAAGAGAGAGAGAGAGAGAGAGAGAGAGAGAGAGATTCCATTAGCCTGGCCAGACCTCGGCCCGACGTTTGGCCGCACGGGCGTGTCAGAAAGGGATGGGGCGGCGGTGATTCGCCGTAGGCGCACTCGATATTTGACCCTGAGGGTTCTCAGAAAACTGTCGGCGCAGAGGTGGCCGCTGTCCACTCGGCATCTGCATTACAAACAGATGAACTTGACAACCATAACCAGCCTCGAACGCATCCCTATCCCTAAGATGGGCGAGCAAAAAGCGAGGACAATCTTAGGGATCGGCCCTCAGAAACTGAGGGAATCCTTAAGATCGGCATCGAGGCGAGGTGATGTCAAACATAGGGATAGGGATGTGTTTCAAACTGGTAAAACCAGTCAGGCGTGCAGTAATACCACACGCCGGAGTGGACGTCGGGCCGGTCGTCGGCGACTTCGTAAGGCACCAGCCCCCGCCGTGAGGGTCCACTGAGCTGCCAGGCGCGCTGACTGATACCACTCGCTCCGCAAGATCACGGGCAGGCAGCGCTGCACTTCCTCTGCTCACGAACGACAGGCAGCATTACGCTAACGCTCCCAGAATGTACCCACCTCCTCTGCCACTGGATCCCTGGAGGCAAGCAGCATTGACCACCGGTGCGCAATGTGCCTACAGTAGAGGAAGGCTCTGCGAATAGCAACGTCTACGTGGCGCTGAAAGCTATGGTGAATCGCCATTGAGCCAGCATGAGAATATAGAGATTCAGTCGTACACGATTAACAGCACAATTGTGTTGCACAGATTCCTGATTGGTCTTGGTAGACCCGCCCAAGAAGCGACAGCCGCCGGGACCCACTGGAGAGATTCTGAAACCCTTCCTCCATGGGAGCCATAATGCAAGGTGAAATTACGGGAGTGTGGAGAAGGAAAGAGCCGCTGGCATCTACATGTGTCATTCAGCGGGGCGACAAAGATTGGGCGATTGTTTTTGTTATCGGGGATGTCAACAACAATGCAGCGTTGCCGAAAGGACCTCCTGCATCCCACTCTCCAGCCAGCCAGCAATGGCATCGCCTTGGCACCGTCTCTTCCTCCTCCTCATAATCATCGCCACCGCTACCACCACCACCATCATCATCAACAGAATCAGCATCAGCACCATCATTATCATCGTCATCATCGTCATTACCATCATCAGCGTCATCATGAAAACGATCATCATAATTATCAGCATCAGCCTCAGCATCAGCAACATCACCATCGTCATCGTCGTCATCGTCATCGTCAGCATCCGCATCCGCATTAGCATCAGCATCAACACCAGATTTCGCATCATCATCCTCTTCATCATCATCGTCATCAACATCCTTTTCAACCTCATCAACACAGTCGTCATCATCATCAGCACCATCATCATCAGAAGCGTGATCACGATCAGCATCACCAGCATCATCAACATCACCCTCATCATCTTCAGCATTATCATCATCAACGACAACCTCCTTATCATCACCACCACCACCAGCATCATCATCCTCGTTATCAGCATCGTCATTCTCATTCCTCGTCATCACCATCATCATCAGCAGCAGCATCACCATCATCATTGTCATTACGACTATTGTCATCGGAAATTGGGGGGTGCGATCGCAGTGAAACGGAGACCCCCAACCGGGAAATCGCTTCGGTTCGTTCGTGTCGTGCGTGCGGGCGTGGCGAAGCTGCGTGAGCGCGAGAGAGGAATGAACCCGCCGTTGCTAGGGCGAAGTCGAGAAAAATGATTCTCCCCCGCCCGCCCGTTCGGCGGAGGCTCGCGGTGTCCCGCGGTGTCCCGTGGTGTCCCGTGATGTCCCGTGTCCGCCGTTGCTGGGGCGAAATCAAGACAAATGATTCTCAACCGCCCACCCGTCCGGCGGTGGCTAGCGGTGTCCCGCGGTGTCCCGTTGTGTCCCGTGGTGTCCGCCGTTGCTGGGGCGAAAACAAAACAAATGATTCCCCCCCGCCCGCCCGTCCGTCCGTCCGTCCGGCGGTGGCTCGCAGTGTCCCGCGGTGTTCCATGATGTCCCGTGGTGTCCCGTGGTGTTCCGTTGAGTGAGATCGATAGTGAGATCGATAATGAGAACGATAGTGAGATAGATTGTGTGATCGATACTGAGATCGATGTGGTGCCCCGAGGTGGTCTGTGGTGTCCCAAAGAGTGAGATCGATAGTGCGATCGATAGTGAGATCGACGGGTGTCCCGAAGTGTCCCGTGGTGTCCCGATGAGTGAGATCGATAGTGAGATCGGTTGTGAGATCGATGCTGAGATCGATGTGGTGCCCCCAGGTGTCCCGTGGTGTCCCGTTGAGTGAGATCGACAGTGAGATCGATAGTGAGATCGGCAAGTGTCCCGTGGCGTCCCGTGGGGTCCCGTTGAGTGAGATCGATAGTGCGATCGATAAAGAGATCGATGCGGTGTCCCGAGGTGTCCCGTGGTTTCCCGTGGTGTCTTATGGTGGCCCGTTCAGTGAGATCGATAGTGAGATCGGTTGTGAGACCGATAGTGAAATCGAGAGGTGTCCCGCAGTGTCCCGTGGTGTCCCGTTCTGTGAGATCGATAGTGAGATCGACAAGTGTTCCGTGGCGTCCCGTGGTGTCCCGTTGAGTGAGATCGATAGTGAGATCGATTGAGACAGATGTTGGTTCTCCTCGCCTCCCCCCCCATTACCTCCTTACCAACCCAAGGAGGGTCGTATAGGTATTTGTCTGATTAGTATGTTTACTACTAAGATTAGGATGTTAGTATCACCACCCCCCCCCTCGTCACCATTTTCGTTTTCCTCGTGGTATGTTTGTTTCTCCCCATCCTCCTTCCCCTCTGCAGTATACTGTACCCCATCCTCCCCTTGATCCACAGCTCAAGCCGTTCATAATGTTCCTCATAACTCTCCGCCTGCCCTCCTCCTCCTCCTCCTCCTCCTCCTCCTCCTCCTCCTCCTCCTCGTGATCCTCCTCGCCCGTCCTCCTCATCCACCTCGTTCTAGTCGTCCTCTTACTGCTTCCTCCCTCGGCCCCTCCTCCCGCCTCCTCCCTTTTTCTAGTCGTCCTCCTACCCCCCATGGGCTCTGGATGCTCTGCCTCAGATTCAAAGTCTGGACGGGGCGAGCGTTCTGCCCAGAACTTCGAAGGGTAATATGGCCGTGTAGCAGTCACGAGGGGAAGTCATTCGATCATGGGCTCTTCCTCCACAGGCTTCCGACGTCGTCAATGCGGGATCCCTGGAGCACTCAACCACTTCCCCGAAGACGGTGTCTTATCCTGGATCCGTTTGCGACGGTGCTGGAGCCCGAGCCAGGGCTCCAGATACCGAAGCTCAGAGAAAAGCTTCGGCTCAGAGGAAAGCCTGGGTCCTCCAGAGGCCTCCCCAGAAGTCTCCCGTGTCTCCGCTGGAGCATTTGCCCTAAGCCCCTCGTAGCTCGAAGAAATGGCCGCAAACGCCCAAGATGCTAAATCCTCGATGCTCGCGCATCGGTCCTCCTCCGGAGTCCCTCCTTCTCCGCCTCCTCCTCCTCATCCACTCATCCCCTTCTCCTGCTCCCCCTCCTCCTCCTCCTCCTCCTCCTCTTCCTCCTCCTCCTCCTCCTCCTCCTCCTCCTCCTCCTCCTCCTCCTCCCTCTCCTCCTCCTCTTCTCCCTCCTCCTCATCCTCCTCCTCTTCCACCTCCATTCCTTCTCCATGTAGATAACTCCTCCCTGTCGCACCCCGAGGCCATTTTTCAGGGCTGGCCGGGCGTTTCGCCTGAGATTTCCTCACAAGTTGACCCTGAAGCTTAACAAGTGGCAACAGCTTATGGAGGGCGGGTCGTTTTCAAAATGTGGCTCTCGCCTCAGCGCTGCACACATTCGCTTTAAACATTTGCAAGGGCTTCACGAGGGCGGGTCGTTTTCAAAATGTGGCTCTCGCCCTAGCGCCGTGCACATTCGTTTTAAGCATGTGCAAGTGTTTCGCGGATTCAGGCCGGTTCCTTTTCAACATGTGGCTCTCGCCTGGGCGCCGCGCACAGTCGCTTTAAACATTTGCAAGAGCTTCACAGATTGAGGGCGGTTCCTCTTCAAAATGCGGCTCTCGCCTGAGCGCCGCGCACACTCGTTTTCAATGTTTGCAAGAGTTTCAAGGATTCCCATGATCAACGTACCAGAAATGGCGTTTTGGAAGGATTCAGAATTATGCGGCTGCACTAATGATGTTGAATCGCGGTGTGAAATCCCAAAAATGGTGCTCTGTCACGAGTCCAGATCGTCAAGACGCAGCAGTCAGGTTGATACGTGGCATCGAATACCGGATAATAATGTTTTGGCATGCTTCAGATCTCCGAACGGGTGTCTTCCAACGAGGCAGTTCCCTCAATGGAAATGAACCGTTGTGGGGGCCTATGAAGAGAGAGCTTGGAGGGTGGGATAATTCCAACATCGTTGATGACTCTTGGTTTTACACTGGTCCTCCTCCTCCTCCTTATCCTCCCCCTCCCCCTCCTCCCCCCCCTCCTCCTCCTCCTCCTCCTCCTCCTCCTCCTCCTCCTCCTCCTCCTCCTCCTCCTCCTCCTCCTCCTCCTCCTCCTCCACCTCCTCCTCCTCGGGATCCTCCTCCCCCTCCCCCTCCTCCTCCGCTCATGCCCTGTTCTTCCTCGCCCCCCCCCTCCTCCTCCGTGAGCCCCCTCCCCTCCGCCTCCTCCGCCTCCCTCCTCCCTCCCCTCCGCCAACCCGCGCCCCGAGAGACTCGCACGGTGCCGCGGGGGCCCGCAGGAGGCCGACCGCCGACCCCGAGGCGCCCGGCCGGCCCGGCGCCCTCACGCCCCCACGCCGCCCTCGAGCAGCTCCGCAGACCAGGCCGCCCCGGCGCCCGCCCCGCGCGGGCGCAGCGCCAGCCGCAGCAGGCCGCCGCCCGGCAGCGCCCCCGCGGCGTGGTACTCCCGGCCGCGAGGCCCTGCGGGCACCGCCGGCGGCGACGACGGCGACCGCGCCGACGCCGCCGCTCGGCGGCAGCCGCGCGAGGGTCCCGGAGGCGCCGGCCACGACGGCGGCGGCGACGGCGGCGGCGGCGACGACTCCACTCGGCAGCAACCGACGACGACGACGACGACGACGACGACGACGACGACGACGACGACGGCGACGACGACGACGGCGACGACGGACGACGACGGACGACGACGACGACATTGGGCGAGGACGGCGTTCGAGGATCGAGGTTCGAGGATGCAGTTGTGTTTTGTTTGCCGTGCGCTGGCCCCACCAGCCCCTGCTTCTCTCCAGTGCTCGCACGACGACGACGACGACGACGACGACGACGACGACGACGACGACGACGACGACGACGACGACGACTCGAGTCGAGAGAAGTCGGGAACCGAGCTCCAGGTCGCCAAATCCATGAAAATGAGCTCCCTACGTCGGCAGCCGAGGAAGGGCGGGATTTCGCCGCTGACCAGCAGCAAGACGATCTCCCCGATGCGGCGCTGGCGACGAGGACACGCACGTCGACGTGCGCAGACACGAGGACGACGACGAGGACGAACACAGACGAAGACGTGCGCGTCGACGAGGAGGACGTCGACTGAGTTTCTCCTCACGTTGCTCCTCCTTCTCACATGGGACATGGGTCACGAGATCCTGAGAGCACCTTCGAGCTGATGATATGTCAGGCTGGACAGACAAGCAAGCTGCTACCACAGGAAAGGCTAAAG